TATGAGTTATGTGATTTGGTGATCGAATGTTGTTCGGAGTCTCGGATGAGATCACTGACATGGTGAGGAGTCTCAAAATAGTCGAGAGGTAAAGATTGATATATAGGACGATGGTATTCGGACACTACAAGTGTTCCGGAGTGTATCGGGTATTGACCGGAGTATCGGAGGGGTTACCGGAACTCCCGAGGGAAAGATATGGGCCATATGGGCCATAAGAGGGGAGCACACCAGCCTACAAGGGGTGGCGCCCCCCCCCCCAAGGAAGGAGGCCGAGTGGGAGAAGGGAAAGAGGGGGTTCGCCCCCCCCCCCTTTCCTTCTCTCCTTCCTCTTCCCTTTCCCCCCTCTGACAATTATGGAAGGGGGGGAGGCCGAATTGGGGAAGACCCCAAGTAGGATTCGGCCTACTTGGGGCGCCCCTTGGCTACCTCTGCTCCCCTCCCACCTATATATATGTGGGGAGGGGGGCACCTAGAACACACAACATCAATTGTTAGTCGTGTGCAGCGCCCCCTCCACAGTTTACGCCTCCGGTCATATCTTCATAGTGCTTAGGCGAAGCCCTGCACGGATCACTTCACCATCACCGTCATCACGACATCGTGCTGGCGAAACTCATCTACTTCCTCGACATCTTGCTGGATCAAGAGGACGAGGGACGTCATCGAGCTGAACGTGTGCAGAACTCGGAGGTGCCATACGTTCGGTACTTGATCAGCCAGAGCTAGAAGAAGTTCAACTACATCAACCGCGTTGTCAAACGCTTTTGCTTACGGTCTACGAGGGTACATAGGCACACACTCTCCCCCTTGGATAGATCTTGCGTGAGTGTAGGATTTTTTTTTGAAATTGCATGCTACGTTTCCCAACACTTATATCTTTTAGAGCATGATGGTGATTATATTTTAAATAAATAGTTGCACTCTCACGATTCACTTAAATATTTTTTAGAGTCTAATAAATAATAATGTCAATATGCATGTGTCATGAAATTGGTCCTGATATGATAGGCATTCAAGAGGGATATAATAAAAACGTTCATGTAGATCACTTAATATGATATGTTTGATTCCTTGCAATAGTTTTGCGATATTAAGATGGTAATATGTGGGGTACTAGTGAATGACTGTGGTTTAGTAAGAATATTGATGTTAATGTTTGTGATTCCCTAAGCATGCATGTATAGTCTCTGGTTATGCGATGAAGTTGGAGCATGGTTTATTATTGAGTGTCTACCTTATGAGTGGCGGCCGGGGACGGGTGATGGTCTTTTCCTACCAATCTATCCCCTAGGAGCATGAGAGTGGCACTTTGTTTCGAGGGCTAATAAACTTTCACAATAAGTATGTGACTTTATGACTAATGTGAGTCCATGGATCATACACACTCTTACCTTTTCGCCATTTGCTAGCCTCTTCGGTACCGTTCATTGCCCTTTCTCGCCTCGAGAGTTGGTGCAAAATTTGCTGGCGCATCCAAACCCCATGATATGATATGCTCTATCACACATAAGCCTCCTTATATCTTCCTTAAAACAACCACCATACCTGCCTATTATGGCATTTCCATAGTCATTTCGAGATATATTGCCATGCAACTTCCATTGTTCCATTTTCATGACATACACATTCATTGTCATATTGCTTTGCATGATCATATAACTGACATAGTATTTATGGCTCAGCCACCGTTCATCATCATTATACATGTTATGCTAGCATCATTGCACATCCTGGTACACTGCGAGAGGCATATATATAGGGTCATATTGCCCTAGTTATTGAGTTGTAAGTAAATAAAAGTGTGACGATCTGTCCCAGTGAGGAAAGGATGATGGAGACTATGATTTCCCCACAAGTCGGGATGAGAATCGAGATAAAAAACAAATAAAAAGAGACAGAGAAAAGAGGCAAAAAAAGCCTAACAAAAAAATGAGAGAAAAATATAGAAGGGGAAATGTTACTATCCTTTTCCACACTTGTGCTTCAGAGTAGCACCATGTTTTTCATATAGAGGGTCTTCTATGTTGTCACTTTCATATACTAGTGGGAATTTATGTTATAGAACTTGGCTTGTATATTCCGATGATGGGCTTCCTCAAATGCCCGAGGTCTTCATGGGTAAGCAAGTTGGATGCACACCCACTTAGTTTCCATTGACCTTTCATACACTTATAGCTTTTAGTGCATCCATTGCATGACAATCCCCTTGCATCGACATTAATTGATGGGCATCTCCATAGCCCGTTGATTAGACATGTTGATGCGAGACTATCTTCCTTTTTGACTTATCCTTATTAATCTCTACCACCACATTATATTCCACCCATAGTGCTATGTCCATTGATCACGCTCATGTATTGCGTGAGGTTGAAAATGCTGAAGCGCGTTAGAAAGTATGATCCAATTGCTTGGCTTTTTATCGGGATAGTTCAAGATTAATACTTTATGTTAGGAAGACCAACCATGACAAGGCTATATGATTTTGTAGGGATAGCGTTCTTTAGCATTTTTATTTTGAAAAGGCATGATTGTTTGTTGGTATGCCTGAGTATTGATGTCTTTATATCAAATTATAGACTTGCTTTGAATCACTCAGATCGAAATATTCATACCGTAAAAGAGATTATATGATACACATGTTAAGTAGCATTTCACACCAAAATTCTGTTTTTATCATTTACCTACTCGAGGACGAGCAGGAATTAAGCTTGGGGATTTTGATACGTCTCCAACGTATCTATAATTTTTTATTGTTTCATGCTATTGTATTATCAATCTTGGATATTTTATATGCCTTTTTGTGCTATTTTTATCGTTTTTGGGACTAACCTATTAACCCAGTGCCTAGTGCCAGTTGTTGTTTTCTGCTTGTTTTTGGTTTTCCAAAAAATCAGCAACAAAGGGATCCAAACGCTATGAAACTTTTTGATGATTTTTTCTGGACAAGAGAGAATCTAGAAGCTTCGGGAGGAGAGCAGACAACAAATGAGGGGGCCGCGCCATGTTGCCTTGTGGGATCCTCGTGGCTCTACCTGACCTAATTTCGCTTCTATAAATTCTCAAATATTGGGAAACCACCCGAGAGCCACCCGAAACACTTTTTCGCCCGCCGCAAGCTTCCGTTCTTCTGCAATCCCATCTGGAGGCCTTCTCTGGTATTCTGCCAGAGGGGAAATCGATCACAGAGGGCTTCTACATCATCCTTGTTGCCTTTCGGTGATGCGTGAGTAGTTAAGCACAGACCTACGGGTCCATAGCTAGTAGCTAGATGGCTTCTTCTCTCTCTTTGATCTTCAATATAATGTTCTCCTTGATGTTCTTGGAGTTCTATCTGATGTAATCTTCTTTTGTGATGTGTTTGTTGGGATCCGATTCATCCTTTTTGCGGTGTGTTTGCGGAGTTATAAACCCACAATTCATTGGCTCCCAACAAACACCACGCAAAAGAATATTACATCGGATAGGACTCCAAGAAGATCAAGGAGAACATGGTATTGAAGATCAAAGATAGAGAAAGAAGCCATCTAGCTACTAGCTATGGACCTGTATGTCTGTGGTGAACTACCCACGCATCATCGGTAGGGCAGCAAGGTTGATGTAGAGCCCCCCGTGATCAATTGCCCCTCGGGCAGTGTACCGGAAAAAGGCCTCCAAATGGGATCACGGAAGAAAAGAAGCTTGCGGCGGTGGAAAAAGTGTTTCGGGTGGCTCTCTGTTGGTTTGAGAATATTTGGGAATTTATAGAGGTGGAATTAGGTCAAACGGAGTTGTGTGGGACCCAAGAGCTCAGGGGCACGCCTGGTGAGCTCGTTGCTTTCCCGTAGGTCTTCTGCCCTCCTCCCGAACCTTGTAAGGCCCTTTCTGGTCCAGAAAAAATCACCGTAAAGTTTCATCGTGTTTGGACTTCGTTGCTATGATTTTATGAAAAGCCAGAAACAAGCAAAAAAAGCAACTGGCGCTGGGCATTGAGTTAATAGGTTAGTCCCAAGAAATGATATAAAATTGCTTATTAAAGCATATAAAGCATTCAAGATTGATAATATAATAGCATGAAACATCACGACATCCTCCATGGCCACCGGTGCTGCATCTTAGCTTCCGCCGGTGTCGCCATCCACTGCGCCATAGCTTTCGCCATGGCCGCCTAGCGGCGTCGTAGCACCTGTTGCCATCGTTGGAGCTTCGCTGGGAGGCCGCCGATGTTGCGATGAAGCTCCTCGAGGGCGACAAGTGTTGCAATGGAGCTCTGGCGGGGCTGCAATGAAGCGCGCCGGAGCTGCAATGAAGCGCATCGGAGCTGCAGTGAAGCACATCGGGGGGCGTTGAAGCTTCGTCGAGGCTGCAATGAAGCGCCGTCGGGCGCCGTTGGTGCTTCGCGCGACACACCGTGTTGCCATGGAAGCTGCTGTGCTGAAGCTTTTTTTGCTGCAGACGCCACGGGGTGCAGGATGGAAGAACAAAGAGAGAAGATGTCAGCTTCGTTTTCTGCCATCGAAGGGCCATCATCCGTTGCATCGGACGGCTAGCTAGGCGGAGAGAAATCATCCGGCTGATGTGTAGCGGCCAAATCCCAAAGGCTTTGATGGTCCAGTGTATACAATTATGATCATCCTTTGAAGTTGTTATCGCAGAGAACATGATGATAAACTGGTTTTTACCATCACAGTGATTCAAACGATTTAAACACGCTGTTTTGAACGTTGTATTTTAAATGCCGGGACTGGCAAAAAACAGAAAAGAAAAACTCAAGGTTGTACTGCCGGGCTGAAATTGTTCCAACTGAGCTTCCTGGGCCTGGGCGTTCGCTTGACGTCCGTCCCTTCGCCGCAGTGGCGACGGCGCCGCCCTTCTCCCGCAACTCGACGCCGACCCATCCCCATCCCCCGCCGCCGGCGCTTTCCCATCCCCATCCCCATCCCCCGCCGCCGGCGCTTTCCCATCCCCATCCCCAACTAGTGAGCGTGAACCCGATGTGAGGCGCGCGAAATCCCTCCGCCATGGAGCATAGTGACGGCGAGACCGCCGCTAAGCGAGCCAAGCTCTCCTCCAGCGGCAGCGAGGACCTCCTCAGCGCGCTATCCGACGACGTTCTCATTCACATCCTTCTCAGGCTCCGCAACACCGCCGTCGCCGCTCGGACCAGCGTCCTCTCCAGCCGCTGGCGCCGCCTCTGGGCCCTCCTCCCGGGCCTGGACTTTCTCCCCGACACCAACCCATACAGCATACCCGCCGTCCTCGCCGCCCACCAAGCGCCCGCCCTCCGCTCTCTTCGCGTCCTCGCCAGGGACGCCTCTGCCGATTTCATGGCCGCGTGGCTCCCCATCGCCGCCCGCCGCCTCTCCGGCGATCTATTCTTCATCAACACTGTGTCGCCGGACGACGAGGCCGGGGACAGAGGCGCCTTTGAACTGCCATGCTTCGAGAACGCCACCTCGATCTCGCTCCACTTAGGGTTTCTTGGCATTGCAGTGCCAGCCTCCGCCATATCCTCTCGGCTCACCGATCTTCGCCTGTATAGCTTCCAGGTACAGGGTCCGTGCCTGCTCGGCGACGTTGTATCCTCGGCGTGGTCCCCATGCTTGCAAAGGCTCACCATCAACGATGCCCGAGGCATCGACAAATTCACCATCTGCTCAGAGTCTCTCCTGCAGTTGAAGCTCAAGGATCTAGATGGCCTGCAGCAGCTCACTGTCGTGGCGCCGACACTCAAAGAGCTAAGTGTGATCCTTTGCTTTGCTCCGAATCAACCTATTGCTAGCGTCTCAGCGCCTGAGCTGGTGTCGCTCCAGTGGAATGATGCTTATGATCCATGCTCTGTCCAACTTGGCGAGATGGCACATCTACAATGTCTGCACGCTGGCATTTTTCTCGTATATGGACCAGTTGATTTTACACCCAATCGCGATTGCCTGAGGATCTTGCAGGACTTCAAGGTCATGCACAGTCTAACCCTCCTACTGCTCTATAATCCGGTGAGTTCAATCTTATATGTGAAGTTATGTCGTCATGGCAAGTTTGTGTCAAGCAGATAAGTCAATAGATAACGAGACAAACATGTAGTTTAACTGAAGGAATGTGTCATTGGGACAACGTGATCAATTGATAATGAGACAAACATGTAGTTTAACTGAAGGAATGTGTCAATGGGACAATATCACATTCTAGAATAGCCATGCAAATTTCTCGCTTGTTCTATACTTCTATTTGCTCAAATCTCTGTAATAGACATGTGTTGAGCCTGAGCGCGGCTGATGTTCACCTCTTACATTGTATTGTTTTTTTCTGACTAGAATATTCGTTATCCAAGAGGATAATGAACTTTTCGACTGAGATACATTACTCTCCTTTGTGATTTACCTACAAACCTTGACGGATGACATGCCAAGGCTCCCGGACATTACATATAATCCTTTTTTGTGACGTCATCTGAACCTGCAGGATATAGGTAACAATCGATACTTGATGGAAGACATGACAAGGCTCCCTGACGTTACATGCTTGTCCCTGACTGTGATGTCAAACGGACATTGCTTTGGTGCCAGCTCATTCCACATTCTCGGACTGTGTACTGGTGTAAGAAAGTTGGCACTCAACTACTTTGAGGTAAAACTATCCTTAATTTCTTTATAACTCTTTTAAACATGTATAATGCTCGAGTTATCAGGTTAGTCACATAAAACAATACACATTTGCACTTTCGGTCATACCTAGACTAGATTGCCAGTTGGCCTACTCTAGGTGTTGGTTTGATACTAATACCTTGTCTCCAAACTTTAACAGTGGAAATGTTATGACCGGTTTAGCCTACGGCCGTAAAAGGCCCACCGGGCAATCTTAGCCCACAAGTTATCTTAGGTTAATTCGTATGCAAGTTATCTAGGTTATAAATATATGCTGTAAGACTCTTTTTGAGATTAAGCAATAAGAATATTATTATTCATGTTGCCCGGCTCCCAGAGGAGCCGGAACCCTAGCCGCCTCTAACCCTAGCCGCCGCCGCCATCTTCCTCCGACGCGACGGTGCCCAGCCGCCGGCGTGCCCGCTCATCGCCTAGCCCCGCTCCATCCTTCCCCTACAGCCTACGCAGCAGGTCCGGTAGGATCCCTGGTTCTACCAATTTAGTATCCAGAGACTCGGGTTCGACCATGTCTTCTCCATCACCCACGCTGCCGCTGCCCTCCGGCACCACCGCCTCGCTGTCCGTCCCCCCGATGACCACCAACGGAGCTCCGACGCTGCCGGGGCCGAGCGCCACAGTGGGGACCCCAACGCCGCCGGCTCCCGTCTCCCCCGCGCCACCGCCGACAACCTCAGTATTCACGCCGGAGGAGATGACCAGCATCCTGCCGGACCTCGTGACGGCCGTCCAGGGCATCTCCCTATACCTGGCCAGCCCGTACACCACCCCGCCGGCTGCGCCCCCTGCCTACAGCCACCCGGTGACGCACTGGCCGCTCCAGGCCGCGTCTGGCCCGAGCGGACCGCCCCTGCTGCCGTTCCAGGCGGGCTACACCAGCGGGCCTCCGCTGCTGCTGCATCTCCAGCAGTCCCCAGCTGCGGGCCGGCTCTGGCCGCCGTGGCTGCCGACTTCTACACCGGTTTCCGTTGCGTCTGGCCGCTACTCACAGCAGATGCAACAGCCGCTGCAGCTCCAGGCGCCACCTCTGCCCAGCGCCGGACTGTCGTCCGCCGCTCCGGCCGGCTTGCCCATCAACCAGGTCCGGTTCCCGCCCTCTCCATCACCAATACCAGCGTTGGCGGCTGGGTCTTCTCCATTGCCGGTCTACACCGCGGCTTCCGAACAGCCGACCCCATTCCCGCAGTTTGACGGGCCATCCGGCACTGCAGGTCGCCACCCGGAGTACTCCGACCAGGCGCCACCGGCCGCCCTGCTCCGCTCCTCCGAGCCAGTTCGACACGGCGCTTCGGCGCAGACACCGCCGTGGTTCGCCAAAATCGACTTCGCCACCTATGGCGGCACGGAGGACCCCCTCAACTGGCTCAACTAGTGCGACCAATTCTTTCGCGGGCAGCGCACCCTCGCATCGGAGCGTACCTGGCTCGCCTCCTACCACCTCCGCGGCGCGGCACAAACATGGTATTACGCCCTCGAGCAGGACGAGGGCGGCATGCCCCCTTGGGAGCGCTTCCGCGAGCTCTGCCTCCTTCGCTTTGGGCCCCCGGTCCGCGGAAGCCGCTTGGCGGAGCTCGGTCGCCTTCCCTTCACCTCCACGGTGCAGGACTTCGCCGACCGCTTCCAGGCCCTGGCGTGCCACGCGTCGGGCGTGACGGCGCAACAGCGGGCCGACCTCTTCGTCGGTGGACTTCCGGATCACATCCGCGTGGACGTGGAACTTCGGGAACCCCAGGATCTCCAGTCGGCCATGTACTACGCCCGCGCGTTCGAACGCTGCGCGGTGGCCATCCAGCAAGCATCACCGTCCCGGACCGCTGGGTCGCTATCCGGGCCGGATTCCGTGCAGGGTCGGCCTGCGCAGGCTTCCGCGGCACCCCTGGCGCGACCGCGGCGCGCCCGTTCCGTCGGCTCACCTCAGCCGAGCTACTCGAGCGTCGCCGTCAAGGGTTGTGCTTCAACTGCGACGAGCCCTACACGCCCGGCCATGCCTGCCCACGACTCTTCTACCTGGAGGTTACAGACTACATTCCGGAGGACGCCGTCGCCGCCGACCTGGCCGCCCCAGCTGTCGCGAAGGTGTTTGACGCTGGTTGATCACCTCGAGAAGTTCAGCAAGCGCTTCCCCACCTTACAGCTCGAGGACGAGCTGTTTGTGCAGGCGGGGAGAAGTGTTATGACCGGTTTAGCCTATGGCCGTAAAAGGCCCATCGGGCAATCTTAGCCCACAAGTTATCTTAGGTTAATTCGTATGCAAGTTATCTAGGTTATAAATATATGTTATAAGACTCTTTTTGAGATTAAAAAAAGGGCAACCTGGTGCATGTAGCTCCCGCTTGCGCAGGGTCCAGGGAAGGGTCCGACCACTTTGGGTCTATAGTACGCAGCCTTTCCCTACATTTCTGTAAGAGGCTGTTTCCAGGACTTGAACCCATGACCTCATGGTCACAAGGCAGCAGCTTTACCACTGCGCCAAGGCTCCCAGAGGAGCCAGAACCCTAGCCGCCTCTAACCCTAGCCGCCGCCGCCATCTTCCTCCGACGCGACGGTGCCCAGCCGCCGGCGCACCCGCTCATCGCCTAGCCTCGCTCCATCCTTCCCCTACAGCCTACCCAGCAGGTCCGGTAGGATCCCTGGTTCTACCAGGAAATTATATGGCTCTTGTAAGTGCTAATACTTTCATCTTCAAGTTTAGCAAAGCGGCGCACTATTTTCTAATGTATGTGACAATATATTGGGAAATGGGGATCCCAGGTGCCACACCCCCCTATATGAATATAGTATTAAAAACAATTACCAGGAAATTTCAAAAAATTCTGAAATTTTCGGATATCAAACCTGGGTGCCCATTGTCCACCCGTGCTCAGTTTCGTTTGGAATGAGTGCCCATGGTATCCGTGGCGAAGGAAATACGGTCCGACAGACGATCCATCCAAATAGTTTTTTCTATACATAGGAATTTTTTGACTTTTTTACCGAGATTACCATGGGCACCCTTTCTCCACGAAACTGAACACGGGTGTACAATGGGCACCCAGGTTTGATATCCCGAAATTCCAGATTTTTTTGAAATTTCCTGGTATTTTTTTAATTCTATATTCATATAGGGGTGTGTGGCACCCGAGAGCCACAAATCGTCATCCACGGTATATTGCGCTTTATTGCCTGGCAGGCTCAGTCACACGCTCAATCTTGATAACACACTTAAAGCAAGTACTTGGGGATATTATTTTCTTACGATATGCTTTTCTAAGATATTTCATTGACAATGAGTCCAAAGGTCAAACTGAACATCATCATGCTTAAGAATTCGTGTAACTTCTATAATAGTGTTTGTCGTACCAGTTTCTCTTTGTACAAAGAACATACATATTTTCTGCAGTATGCCGGCTTCAAACTACTTCCTGCTGTTGTTCTTTTGTAAATGTGCTGATGCATCTCGAAGTACTCGGGCAGTCTGATACATTATAATTTCGTCTCTTTTTCATCATGAAACATATCGGTTAATCTTACGAAGTTGATATGCTCCTCACTTCAGGCGCAGACTCCATGCCCATCAAGTTGCATTTGTGATCAGCCAACACACTGGAAAATCGAGAAACTTGTGCTTGATCGCCTCCAAGAAGTAGAAATTAGTGAACTATCAGGAACTGAACATGAACGTGATTTTGTGCAACGCTTATTCAGTTGGGCAACGGCCTTAAAAAAGATGACAGTATATTTTCATCACTCAATTACGGAAAGCAAGGCCAAGGGGTTGTGCCAGATGTTACGAAGCTTCTCCAAATCGGAACTGCATATGGAATTTTATGTGCACCGCTGTTTGGTGGGGAAAGTTCTGTATGTTCCTGAAGATTAACACACTGATTTGCCAATTCTCACAAGCTTCTGGTTTGCTTGGTCCTAATGTTGGCATGCTCAGGAGTGGTGACGAATTCATGTTGCCAGAATATGTCAATGCTGTTGGAATTGTCTTTTCTGGGATGCGTGTTTATCTCTGTAATCGGTATGCAACTATGGATGCTAATTAATTTGCTAGAATATTAGCAGCTTACCCTGACTTCTATTGATGCTGAGAGCATTTGTTAAGTGGGGTGCACTGCTATTTAGTAGTCTCATGGTGATTTCTGCTAGTATGAATTTCTGTTATTGTAATGGTACCCGGGACTGGAAGGTCACCCTTTTGATATCTTTTGTTGGAGTTTGTGTAAGGGTATGGTTCTTTCATGAATTGTGAGACTGAAATTAAGTAACTTGGTCTCATATATGGATTCATGTCATGAAGCTATATGTCCAATGGTCTTTCATGTTGGGTGAATTAAGATAAGCTGTTTAGATGGGAGATTAATATCCAGAGCATTAACTACTAATCAAAGCTGGTGGTATTTATCATGTGACGTGCACTTACGAATCTACTGCAGAGGGCAAGTGTTCCAAACAAGGTTGCGAGAACAAGACTCCTAGCCTCAGGCAATAACTAGTCTTCCTGCTTATACTTTTATTCTTGTTGGTAGGTCACCCTTGGTTAATTATGTATGATTGATGGGTTGATGTTGTCAAGGCTGTGGATGAGTTTTGCTGAAATCTAACAAAAATGGGCGTCGACTCTATAGGTACCGTGGTTTCGCACTTGAAGACTCCAGTGGACAGTAGTAAAATAAATATGAAAGTTGAAGATATCAGTAAAAGAAAGACTTTTATGTGGTATCTTTGCTGAGGAAGTTGTGCTGACAAAGAACAATCTTGTTCACTGCAACTGGCAAGGAAGCAAGAAGCATTGTTTTTGTGCCCATGGCAAGACAATTAAACACCTCTTCTTTTAGTACAAGTTTGTGCATTCTATGTAGTCAGCCATCTAAATAATGTTCAATTTGTATCCGCCAAGAAGTGTTACCAGTTTGTACGGTCATTGTTCGATGACATACCAAATAAATTTTGTATGCTAATAAGGGTGGATGCATCTGCCTTACTATGGGCGCTTAGACCGTAGAAATGATATGATTTTCAATGTGAAAGTTCATCTCTGTTATCTACTGTTGGACGAATTGGCTTCATACGAGGTTTACACTACTCCGAATGGAGCACCAACCGGTGTTGACAATGGTGTGTACGCGATTGGAGCATATTATATTTTGTGTTAATAAAAGTGTCCTTCATCAAAACGGACACAAAGTATTCACGTGACGATGAATCCACAGCTAAAGTGGTAGTATCTTATTGGTAAACCAGCTGATATTGTTGATTGTGAAATGTATATAGTCTGGATGGGGTCACTTCCTCCTCAAATAACAGGGCTCGCTGGGAGGAATATGGACATGGTGGTTGATGTCACCGTGTCAAAAGTCTCCTTGTGGAGAGACAACATATGATTCCAGATTGTCAAGTTCTATCATCAAGGGAGTGATACAGTATCTGTTTGGCTTGCACCATTGGTGATGGTGGCGGCACGGCACCTCTGACATGTCGTGAGAATTTTTTGTTCCTAGGCTGAGAATAGGTAAAGGAGCGGCCCTGAGCGTTAAGACGGATTGTGGTTTCTTCACCGAGTATCAGCGATAGACATATATTTGAACAAGTCTCCTTTTTGAAGTCTCAAATGTAGAAGAAAGAATATTTTTTATTAAAAATTTGAACAAGTCGATGAATTTTCTTCATCATAACTTAAAAACCCGTAGAAGCGCATGCAACACCTTGAGCCCCACCACAAAGAAAACCATCCTTCCAAGCAATGGGAATGGGTCAGGATAGCACTGGCGCAGCACGATGTGAAACATTGGGAGCCGGGACTGGCCATTTAGCTATAGCTGACCGCACTGCAGCCGTTATTTGTAGCTGGTTGGTGGCGTTTCACTGTCCATTGGGACCTCCTTTCGCTGTGTCATTCATCCCGTTCCTTAGCTCCGTCCCTTGGTGCTCACTTGGACAGTGCCACCACCAAGGCCTCTCGCTCCTTTATTAGCTATATCATCACATCAGACCGACACAGCTTGAGAGACGCAGCAGCAGCAACCTGCAAGCAGAAGCAGTGCGGATCAGAGGGAGGGAGGGAGGAAGGCATGGGCAGCTCATCAGGGCTCGTCGACTGGAGGGGAAGGCCGGTTAACCCCAAGAAGCATGGAGGAGTAAGAGCTTCCATCTTCATTCACGGTATGGAATTGGAATTGGAAGGCAACACCTGCATACTACATCCTTCATGTCTTCCTAAGTTCCTTTGATTTGCTCGCTCCAGTAGTCTTGCCAATCCCATTTCTGTCAACAATGATAACCTTCTTTCCTTGAGTTAGTACATACGTACGTATGTGCAAACAATTGATCCATTTGGATTTTTCTCGCACACACTTTTTCTCCCTTTAGCTAGCTAGCAAGCAGGTTTCTTGCATGCTTTTCCCCTGCTATGTTGACTAGCTAGCAGTAGCAGGTCACTCTCACTCCCACTTTTGCTATCAGTCGTGTGTTTCCATAAACCATACTCGGTAGAAAGCTTAATCTTTTTGGCCAAGCTTAGAGATGTTAATGGAACGCACGCTTCACTTTTTTTTCTTCTAATCTGTTCTTGTGCATGCAGCTCTGGTGCTGCTGAGCAACGCTGCCAACATCGCCAACATCATGAACCTGGAGACCTACCTTCGCGGCACCATGCACATGGGGGTGGCGGAGGCCTCAACGACGGCCAGCAACTTCTTCGCGGCGCTGCAGATGTTCTCCATCCCGGCAGCCTTCCTCGCCGACTCCTACATCAAGCGCTTTTACACCGTCCTCATCTTCGGCCCGATCGAGATTCTGGTACTATCTACTGCTCCATGCCCCATGTTTTTACGCGATGGATTTTGTTTTTGGTACAACTTACTTATCCATGGAAGTGGAAGGGGCTTTTATTATTTTTAATCTACATACATCAAGCCTCATGCATGATTGCTCCATTATGCATTTCATTCAGTAATAGTCAGTATTTCCCAACCAAGGAATCTAGTCAACGTTTTAGCCTGATAGCACACCTTGAGTTTAATGCTACGTACGAATACGACTAGCTAGCTAGCAAAGGTGCTGGATTTTTCCACCAAGCGCTAGACAAAGGTGGCATGGGTGGGTGCCATCGGCGCGTCAACAGGACCGGAAAAAGGAGGAGCGACGAGACGATCAAAGTGGCATACATACATAGCATGGGTGGGGTCGACACAACGGGGAGTAGTTGGTGTGACTGTCAGAGCTGGATGACCCGCTTTCTTTCTCGCGGGAACCAAAATATCAACAAGTTTCTAGAAGCCCTGGGAGGCTGGGACCATTTATATTGGCTTTTCAGTTAGTTTCAGCTGCACGCTTCTTCTTTTTAAGTATAAAATTACAAAATAATCACTCAAAACCGTGTAGATTACCCGGTTGATGGTCCGTTTTTGTCGTTGGCTTTTGCACTAGATCTTTGAAACATACTAGTAGTTAGGGTGCGCGCTTGAGAGGGAGTTGGACGCACGTTTTCATTTACAAAAATACATGGACTCATCGCCTTCATCTAGAAAAACATTTAAAAAAAAATCCTCACCTCCATTTAGAAAAAGAGTAAAAAGGAAAAGAAGAAAAAACTTCAATGCAACCTACCAGCGAGCGCCACTTTCGTAGCCCTCCATTTAAAAAAAATTGTGGGTCATGACCTCCATAAGGAAAATCACATTAAAAAAGTTCTTCACCTCCATCTAAAAATAATATCCCAAAAAATATTTTACCGCGGCCAACCAGCTTGCCCCATATGGCATAGCTGATTGGCCGCCCTTCACGCATGGATTTGATGTTCTACATTTATTTTTCTTGTCATTGAGTGTCAGGGCATAGCTATAGTTCTTTACCAGGTTGTGGATGTGTAGTCACTTTGTTATCAGGTTATAGTCACTTGCTTACTACTCTTGCCGATTTAAAACAAATGTCGCAACTTTGAATTAAGCTTAGTTGAGTTACCTCTCGTCCATGTAAGTCTTGCATTGCTTTTGATCTTATTTCTGTGGCCTGGTATCTTCTCTTACTTGTTGTAACATGCATAACACACGACATCTCTTGTTAAATTTCATAATAGCATGTGCTGCATGAAAATACTAACCGGGGCATGTGCACTAGTTAGATTTCCAAACAATTTGTCGTTAGCAAAATTATCTTGTTTTTGGTTTGGTCAATGGGGCTGGTGCCCCATCTGCAGCTCCTACGGTCCCTATCGTTGTGTTTCGCCATCGACACAAAAACAGCAGTGTCCCCTAAAAAAAACCAGCAGAGTGGCCCTCGCTATGGAGCTTGCTACAACTGATTGTATGAACTTCTTGAGTTAAGTAATACATTATTCATCCGCAAAAAAGAAAGTTTGGCAAAACGTCTCACCAAGGTGGGCCTTCTCGTGTGACATGGCAGCCGCCCTTTCAACACTTCTTTTTTCAGTTTGCAGTAGATATCCCAACTAATTGGGAGATCCTCCTTTTTTTTGAGGGGAATACCAAGTTTTATTCATCAAAAACCACAAATTGTGGGATACATCTTGGATCAAGAGGTTGGCCAAACCAGACGTGGCGCCCCGGACCCAGTGAAAGCAATGACTTGGCTAAACTATGTGCCTCCATGTTGGATGCACGAGACTCGAAAATGAAACTACATTGAAAAGAGTTTGCTAGAATTTGTATTTCACTAATGACAGCTCCAGTGCTGCCCCTACAACCCTTATTGATATTATTGATAACTTGCTTGGAATCGGAGGAGATCAAAAAATTCTGTAGATGGAGATCTGCCGCAAGTGCCAAACCCTCGCGGCAAGCTATCGCTTTCAGAGTTTCAGGGTCGTCTAGTCCTGCAATCACCAGAGATGAACTGCCAAGATACGCGCCGGTTTCGTCTCTGCAAACCGCCGCTGCTGACCCCCTACTACCCTTGCGGACACCAGCATCCACATTGATCTTTGCATGGTCTTGAGGAGGGGCTTTCGGCCTTCCGCTCCTGCTTGTTGCTCCAGCTGTAGTCACCTGGTGTGGTTTGACCTTCAGTATATCTAGCTCATCAATAAAACTGGTGATGAAGCCATATGTAGCGTGAGGGCTTTGAAAAATCCCTTCATGAATTGCCTTTCGTCGCGCTTCCCAGATTGATCGCCCACAACGTAACCGAGAGCCTCACAAAAGCTCGTGTGGCATCGACTCCATCAATGTGAACAACCATTGTTTGGCGTTTGGTTCAGTTGTAGCTGCAAGATTTTTCGTGATCTCCTGGTCCATAACTGACCATATACACCTGGACATTGAACACTCTATTAGGGAGTGTCTCCATGAGTCTTGCGCGCCACAGATGCCGCAAGCACTTGAGTCACTCATATGTCTGTGTGCCCTCACGTCGTTGGTAGGGATCGAGTGTTTTGACAAACGCCAGAGAAACATCCTCACCTTGCCCAGCACTTGAGTTTTCCAAAGCTTTTTCCATGCTCCCTCCTCTCTGGACGTGCTGGAAGATCCGGTCGTGCTTTCCAACCATGCCTCTCTTCTAGCTCTTGTCGCCACCAGCATGCGATAGGCTGATTTAACAGAGAAATTTCCATTCTTTTCGTAATGCCAGCTCTAGAAATCCGGAACGTTCATGGTGCACAAATGGATAGCCATTATTACCTGAACATCCATTGGCATGAAAACTTCCGAGACCCTCTGTCTGTTCCATTGGGCTGACGTGGCATCAATGAGCTCCTCCTAATCGGCGGTTCAGGTGCCCGATCGCTCAACTGGCGCTCACGCAGCCGCTTCATTTGGGCCGGCCCATAGAAACACGCTGGGCGCTGCCGCTTCCTTCCTTCGCGCTCGCTCCTCGTTGTCCTTCGCTCGTTCACGGTTGACAGTCGACAACGTCTCAGAAAAAGGTTGAAAGTCGATAGTTGATCGGGCGATCGTTGACTGGTCAACCATTTCCATTCTCGTTGGTTTTCACGAACACAAGAAAGAAGAAAAAGGATGTACTCACGTCGTGTGAAGTGTCTTTGTAGGTTATTGCAGTTTATACTGATGAGGAGGTTCGTGAGTCTGATTCATGTCGCGGGGACCTTTTTGCACAGGTCAACAGAAAAGAATATTGGTAAATGGGCAGGCCCAGCATGAAGGGGGTGTGTGCACTGATTTGCGGATATAACACACTAACGGACACGGAAGGCGTCAAATAGGAGTTGGGCATTTAATTATTGTGGTCCATAAAAATTGTCAACACTTGTGTTATTTGATTTTTTTTTGGAAGTTACAAAAGTTGGAAAAAAAATACAAAATCAAAATTCGTGTTACGCATAAAAAATGCAAAAATCCGCATGGGCACACAGCAGGTGTGGGAGTATACATGGGTGCGACCAAAGATTCGCTTTGGGTTTGACGAACTTGTTTGGACAGAAACCCCTCAATTACTTTGTGTGTGCATGCTTTTAACACAGTTGCATGCTTCTCCAATCCCACCCCCATGCTTTTTCATTTCATCCACAAATTACAATCTATTAAGATTTTTTGAACCGAAAGTCCAAATTGAGTTTTATTTGTATATTTGTGTTTGTTGCGACAAAAACTTTTGAACTAGGCCATTCTTGAATACATTTTGAGAACAGTTAAATTTTACCAAGTGTCAAATATTTAAAACCTAATAGTCGCAATATAATTTTTTACCAAGTTTCATTTGTTTTCGGATTTAGGGATTAGGGTCTTGGGCTTAGGGTTTAAGTTTTAGTTTTGAAACTTGGTGAACTTATCATTCGCCCCTATCAAGTTTTAGTAGTTGAAACTTGCTGGAGTTTTTAAACTTGTCAAAACGTATTGACAAATGGTCTTGCTCAAGAGCCCTTGTCCCAACGAAGACGGATATGCAAAGCGAACATATATTAAACTTTCGATTCAAAAGATATAATGGATTCAAATTTGAAAGTCAAAGAAAAATAATGGAAAGTGGGATGGGTGGAGCTGTCAAAAGTTGGATGCATGGACCCATTTAAGGTAATTAATGACTAAGGCACATGTAAAGATCAAACCAATTTCTGAATCACGAGGCAATTGGGCGGCTAGGAATCTGCCTACTCCCACACCTACGCGACACAAATCCTCTCCCATTAAAAATGTTCAAATGACGTCAACACCAACCAACAATGTTGACAACCCTATGATAACAGGAGAGATCCTCCGACAACGGCGCTTCCAGAAAAGGAACAAAGCAGGAGCACCGTTGTCGTCGGATTCAAGCGATGATGATAGATTATGGGTTTCAACCTAAACGGAAGCCTCAGCGAACTCTGGTTTTAACAAGGGAACAGTGCGTGAATACCATTATTGTCAAGTTCAATCAACGAAGGTCGGACCTAGATTTTCACCCTAGAACTCAAGATCTAGGGCTCAAAGAGCACCACCTAACGAGAGTCGCCATATGTTGCCTTCACATGTCGTGCTCTTCAACTCTAAAGTCTTAACAAATGCGACATTTGCATGCCATGTATACACTAGCCTATGCAACTGCACGTGTTTGTTACTAATTTAAATAGCTTGTGATTGTGTTAAAAAAATAGTTTTGGATGTTGCAGAAAAACATGTGAATTCCATAAAACAATAATATGATGGGATTTTATGATCCCAAAATAATCATTCACATTTAACTCTACTTTGCTCTGGTCTCTTGACGCGCCAAAACATGCCACCAGGTCATTGCAATTTGGGTTTGACACCTAAGTAAGGAGTAGTACTACTAATCTAGTCGCTGTGCAAGCCTAATCTCATATTCAGAGCACTTGTCATTCATCGCGTTTGCATTTGCAGGGCTACATCCTACTGGCAGTGCAAGCGCACGTCCCATCTCTGCACCCGCCACCCTGCAGTCCCACTGGCGCGCAGACCTGCGAGACGGTCCGTGGCTCCAACCTGAGCCTGCTCCTCCTGGGCCTCTACCTGATCCCCATCGGCGACGGCGCGGCGCGCGCGTGCCTGCCGGCGCTGGGGGGCGACCAGTTCGACACGGCCGACCCCGTGGAGCAGCGGCAGGAGACGAGCTTCTTCAACTGGTACACCTTCGCCGTGTCCTCGGGCGGCTTCGTCGGCCTGGTGCTCGTCGTGTGGGTGGAGAACAGGAGAGGATGGGACATCGGCTTCACCGTGTGCGCTCTGTGCGTGCTGCTGGGGATGCTCATATGGATGGCCAGCTTCCCTTTCTACAGGAACCAGCTGCCCGGTGGAAGCTCCATCACAAGAATCTTGCAGGTATATATTTATTATCCGCCGCGTGTTTGTTTATTCAGATTCAAGATATTACAATCCGGTCCTAGTAATAGTACTGGCAATTCGACCAAATACTTGGCATCAAACAGGTTCTTGTGGTGGCATTCAAGAAAAGAAATGTTCAATTGCCTGACAACGCAAGTGAACTCAAGCAACTGAACCAAGATGATCACAATGTCCTTGAAGAGCTGCAGCGGACAGATGGCTTTCTGTAAGTAGCTCCCGCCAAATCTGAAGAACAGACCTGAAATATACACTTGGCTGAAGCTAAAGCTTCCTACAGGTGTCTCGAGAAATCCGCGGTAGAGACCGGGGAGACAGGGCCATGGTCGCTCTGCACCGTGACGCAGGTGGAGGAGACCAAGATCGTCCTCCGGATGGTGCCCATCTTCCTCAGCTCCGTCCTAGGATACATCCCGGTGCCGCTCATCCTCAACTTCACCGTGCAGCAGGGGAACACCATGGATACCAAGCTAGGCAGCGTCCACATTTCCCCGGCCACGCTCTTCGTCATCCCCACCGTCTCCCAGATGCTGATCCTCATCCTCTACGACCGGTTCATCGTCCCGTCCCTGCGCAGGATCACGGGATACGTGGGCGGCGTCACGCATCTGCAGCGCATCGGGATCGGGTTCCTCTCGGCCACCGTGGCCACCGGCGTGGCCGCCCTGGTGGAGGCCAAGAGGAAGAGGGTCGCGGAGGACAAGGGCCTCATGGAAGCCACCACCGGGATCCCCATGTCCGTCTTCTGGCTGACGGTGCAGTTCTTCCTCCTCGGGGTGGTGGACGTCACCTCCTTCGTGGGGCTCCTCGAGTTCTTCTACAGCGAGGCGTCGACGGGGATGAAGTCCGTTGGCAGCTCCATCTTCTACTGCATCCTCGGGGTGTCGGCTTGGCTGGGGAGCCTGCTCATCCAGGTGGCCAACCGGGTCACCAGGCGCGCCGATGGGACGGGAGGATGGCTGGACGGGACCAACTTGAACATGGGCAAGCTTGATAACTTTTACTGGCTGCTTGCTGTGCTTGAGCTGGTGGCACTCTTCGTCTACACCATCTTCGCCAGGAGGTATGTGTATAGGAATGAGCAAAGGGTTGTGGACACCAAGGTTCCAGTGGAAGGTGCCACCTTTGGTGATGTCATGATCTAGACTAGACTAGATGATGATACACGACCAAACTATAAAATGCAAACTTCAATTGTGACGTACAACTTTTTTTTTTAATTATTTTAGAAAAGGAGGATGACCCCCAGCCTATGCATCTGGGAGATGCATACGGCCACTTTATTGATTATTCTCGAGGACCTTACAAAGTATTACAACAATGTGTCTGAATCCACCATCTTGGCAACACATGCCGCTACTCCTATCCAAAATGATGAAGGGGTGCTAACTGGGCCACTACCCAAACCACTCACCTAAGCCTAACATCAAAAGCCGGAAGCCGAAACATATTCGGGAGCCCCAGCCGAGCCACATACCGGGTCTGGAGCACAATCCGGTCAGACGCACTCGTGTGTTGTCGCCGCCATCTTTCACAGGTCCGTCTTCAGATCATATTGAGGCTTCTACCTTGTCTGGACACTCTGCCATCGACGTCACCATGACGCCAGACAACAACCTCCTCCTGCGCGAGTCCATCTCCGTGCATCGGACTCCGAGCCTCCACAGCGCCATGC